AATTCGGACCAGATGTTCACCCACGTGGGGCCCCGCGGGGACCAGACGCCCCCCCTCCCCTCGCGTTTCGGGAACCTCAGGCCTTTCTCAAAGCTGCTTGGCCCCGGATGGCCTGCGAGTCCAGGAAGGGCCGGCCGCAGCGCCCAGACCTGCGTGACGGGCCGCCGGCATTCCCGGAGCCACGGCGGCCACAGCGGCCACAGCACCGAGGAGTGCGATGAGCCATGGGAAAGCGGCTTCTCTTCCCGAACGCCAGGCCGGCCCGAGAAATCCCACCTCCGCTCCTGAGGGGCGGCCCCGGGGAGGCCTGGAGGGGATGTGGGGGGTGAGGCCAACCTTCGAGAAGTGATCCATTTGGGGGGACAAAGCACTTTCTCCGGTTCGGCTCTAATGCAGCCGGCGGGAGGCCCCAGGCTGGACAGGACGGTCCCCACAATGTTTGGGGGTAGAGCTGGGGGGAGGGTCTGTGCAAGGCTTGGCTGTGCCAGCAGGATGTTTTGTTTTTATCTTGGTGAGCATTTGTGTTTTAATATATATACCAGAGGCCCGGTGCATGAGATACGTGAACTTGGGGGGCAGGGGTCAGTCCGGGAGCCCTCGGGGGATGTCAAACTGATGCCAGGAGCGGGCCTAAGCCAGCAGCCGAGCGCACTGACCACCAGGTGGCTGCTCCTGCATTGAGCGTCTGCCCCCTGGTGGTCAGTGCACCTCATAACGACCAGTTGTTCCACCGTTTGGTTGATTTGCATATTGGCCTTTTATGATATAGGATATACTAGAGGCCTGGTGCATGAAATTCAAGCATAGGTAGGGTCTCTAGGCCTGGCCGGTGATCAGGGCTGATCTGTGGGGCAACCGGCAGGGTGATTGGGGGCCTCCGCTGGCACCCGCTTTGGCTGGCCTAGTCCCTGCAGGCAGCTCCTGCATTGAGCATCTGCCCCCTGGTGGTCAGTGCGCATCATAGCAACTGGTCATTCTGCCAATTTACACATTAGGCTTTTATTATATAGGATATTTAAAAAAAAAAATTGATAATCCTCACCCAAGGATATTTTTCCATTGATTTTTATAAAAGGAAAGAGAGAGGGAAAAACAGAGAGAAACATCAATGTGAGAGAGACACATCGATTGTTTGCCTCCTGCACGCGCCCCGACCAGGGCCCGGGCGAGAGAGGTGACAGCAACCAAGGTACATGCCCTTGGCTGGAAAAGAATCCGGGACCCTGTGGGCCACAGGCCAAGATGTTTTGCTTTTGTCTTGATGAGCATTTTGTGTTTTAATATATATATTAGATGCCTGGTGCACGAATTCATGCATGGGTGGGGTCCCTCTGCCTGGCCTGCGGAGATCGGACCAAATCCTGCAGTCCAATGCCATCTGCAACTCTACCTGCCACTCCAGCTCATCCTGGCCCACTGCGCCTGCTGCAGGCTCGCGCCCAATCAGTTCCTGGCCCCATCTTGCCCACTCCCGACCTGGGCCAATCAAGACTGGCCAGCCAAGGAGGGACATGGGAGGTTGGCCAGCTGGGGAGGGACCGCCGGAGGGCTCCAGGGCGTGTCCGGCCCATCTCACTTAGTCCCGATTGGCCAGACCCCAGCAGCAAACTAACCTACCAGTCAGAGCATCTGCCCCCTGGTGGTCAGTGCACATCACAGCGAGTGGTTGAGCGGCATTAGCATGTCATTAGTATATTATACTTTGATTGGTTGAACAGTCAAATGGTCACTGGAGGACTGGACACTTAGCATATTAGGCTTTTATTATATAGGATATGGATTATATAGGATATGGATTTTATTATATAATATATATATATATATATATATATATATATATATATATATATATATATATAATTTTAGAAGCCCAGTGCACAAAATTTGTGCACTGGAGGTGGGGGGGGGGGCGGGTCCTTCAGCCTGGCCTGTGCCCTCTCACAGTCTGAGACCTCTTGGGGGTATCTGACTGCCGGCTCACAGTCCAGGACTCCTTGCTCCTTACCGCCTGCCTGCTCGCTGCTCCTTAGCGCTGCCGTGGAGACTGGAGAGGCTCCCGCCACCACTGCTGCACTCACCAGCCGTGAGCCCGGCTTCTGGCCGAGCGGCGCTCCCCCTGTGGGAGCGCACTGACCACCAGGGGGGAGCTCCTGTGTTGGCGTCTGCCCCCCAGTGGTCAGTGCATGTCATAGCGAATGGTCGTTCTGGTCGTTCCGCTGTAATGGTCACTTAGGCTTTTATTTGATATATATAGATATATTTTTTGTATTTTATCTTTTAAAATTCTTTATTGTTTTAGGTATTACATATGTCTTCTTTTTTACCCATTGACCTCTCCCCGGCCACTCCCCCCATGCCCTAAATATATTCTTATTGACTTCAGAGAGGAAGGGAGAGGGAGAGAGAAACATCCATGATGAGAGAGAGTCATGGACCGGCCGCCTCCTGCACGCCCCACACTGGGGATCGAGCCCACAACCCGGGCGTGTGCCCTGACCGGGAATCAACCGTGACCTCCTGGTTCCTAGGTCGGTGCTCAGCCACGGAGCCGCGCCGGCCGGCCATGGTTTGCTTCGTTTTGATCTTGGTGGGAGTTTTGTGGGTGTCCCATAGCCTTGGGACAGCAGAGCCTTGGTCCACAGTCCCCCAAGCAGCGGCTCCTTCCGATGATTCTCTCGGGTTCCGAGTGATGCATGTGTCTGGCCGATCGGGGCCGGCTGGCCGAGGAGGGACACGGGAGGTTGGCCAGTCAGGGAGGAGCTGCGGGAGGGCTCCAGGGCATGTCCTGGGGGAGCACAGCTTCTCCCCCCCGCCCGTTCCCTGCTCCACAGCGAGGGGAAGATGCTGGGCAGGTCCGCCCCAAGCAGAGATCCCCCCACCTCCCCTGTACGACGGGGTTTGGACTGATACACACAGGACACTTCCCAGACGCCCTGGCGACCTGGCACATGCTAACCCTCTGCCCTCAGTGCAGCCTGGCCCTGGGACCCTCCATCACTGCCCCCCCGCCCCCCGCCCCCCAGTCTCTCCCCTCCACCAGGCCAGGGAGCCGGTCCCAGGCAGGGCGCAGGGGAACTCACACGGGGTGAGGAAGCCTGCCGCCCCCCCACCCCCACCCGGCCCATCTGGTCAGGGGGATTCTGTGTTGTGGGGCGTCCTGGGGGCTGTGGGGATGTTCGGCCGCATCAATAAAATGATATAGTTTGTTTTTAAAAAGACATTGTCTGGTCTGATCATTTGATGCGTTTTGAAAAAGAATCCTTTCTTCAAGTGGCAATACAAGTGATTAGCGCAACATCAAACATTACAAAATCCAGTTTTATTTTATTTCTTTTTATTATTATTATTATTTTTAAATCCTCAGCAGAGGATATTTTCCCATTGATTTTTTAGAGAGAGGGACAGACAGGGAGAAATGTCGATGTGAGAGAAACATGGCGATGGGCTGCGGCTGGACCTGTAACCGAGGTACGAGCCCTTGACCGGAATCCACGCGGCCTCCACCACGGGAGCGTCTTCAGGCTCTGCCACGTGTCTGGGGACCCGTCACCCACGGCTGAGACTCCCCGCTCTAGGTCTTAAACGAGAGACTTGTTTAAAAAGCCAGACGTTCCTAGAGACTCAGTGGTTGAGCGTCGACCTGTGAAGCAGGAGGTCACGGGTTCGATTCCCACCAAGGGCACAGGCCCGGGTTGTGGGCTTGATCCCCAGTGGGGGGCGTGCAGGAGGCGGCCGATCCATGATTCTCTCTCATCACTGATGTCTCTCTCTCTCTCCCCCTCTCCCTTCCTCTCCGAAATCAATAAAAATACATAATTTTTAAAAAGAAGCCAGCCCTGCGGTAAGCACGGGAACCCCCGTCCCTCGCGGGGGCTGAGGATGCCCGGGCTCACGTCCCTGAACCAGCGGTGCGGTCAGGGCCGGGGGGGGGGGGGGCACTGGGGCCCGGGGTGAGGACAGGCTCAGTGACGGGGCCCCATCACCTACACGGCAGGGCCGGTGACTCCCGTGGCGGCTGAGCTCCACCCCTGGGCCTGCCTCCTTGGGGTCCTGCTCCTGCTCCCCCCTCGCCCCTGGACAGGCAGAGGGAAGAGGCCGTCTGTCAGTGACAGGCCGCGCCCCCTGCAGCCCCCGCAGCACATCTGCCCCAGGACTGCGGGCCCTCCCTCCGGCTCCGCCTCTTCTCCACTGAGCCCAGCGTTTGCTGATGGAGCACAGAGCCTAAGGATACTTTCATTTTTAATTTAATTTTTAAAAAATTTCTGATTTTTATTTTATTTCATTTCTTTTTATTATTATTATTTTAAATCCTCACCAGAGGGTATTTTTCCATTGATTTTTTAGAGAGAGGGAAAGACAGAGAAATATCGATGTGAGAGAAACACATCAATAGTTGCGCCTGGACCAGGGCCCGGGCTGGGAAGGAGCCTGCAACTGAGGTACGTGCCCCTGACTGGAATCGAACCCGGGACCCTGTGGTCCGCCGTCCGACGCTCTACCCACTGAGCCACACCTGCCAGGGCTAAGAATACTGTAACAGCACGTCTGCACTCTGAGTGGCGTTCCTTACAAAGGCTGCAGGCCGATGTGCTGGCTCTTCCCACGTGACCCCAGTTTTCAGATGAACCCACACGTGTGGAACCTTCTTAAATTAGCCCAGATATCAGGACCCGTTCAACTCAGTCAGTTATCACCGCGCCCTAAGTCCAGGCCCAGGAGATTGGATCGCCGACGCCAGGGCCCTAAAGATCAAAGTGAGCCCTGGCCGGTGCGGCTCAGTGGATAGGGCGTCGGCCTGCAGACTGAAGGGTCCTGGGTTCGATTCTGGTCAGGGCACAGCCCGGGTTGCGGGCTCGATTCCCAGGGTGGGGCGTGCAGGAGGCAGCCCATCAGTGATTCTCTCTCATCATGGATGTTTCTGTCTCTATCTCCCTTCCTCTCTGACATCAATAAAAATATTAAACAAATGAAAAGTAAAGTTAAAATGTCTACAACTAGTATTAAGAATGATCTAGTTTATTTTTTAAAAATCAGTAAAAACATTTCAAAAACAAGGTCTGGTCTAACCATCTTATGTGTTTTGAAAAAGAATCCTTTCTTTAAGTGGCTATACAAACTATTAGTGCAACATCAAAAATTACAAAATCCACTTTTTACTAAATTGCATCTGTTCCTTCTATGGAAATCTCTCAGAGCGAGGCAACAGGTTTCCGTAAAAGGTTTACAATCAAGGCAATAATCTTGCCATGTTAGCTAATATCCTGAGTAGGGCTAAGAAGAAACGGCCCAGAACGATATAAAAATTTATTTATTTTTTTTTTAAAGAAAAAGGTATGGAGCCTAACTTTCCTGAACACGTATGTAAATACGAGTGATGTGATTTGCGAGGGAATATAAAAATGGGTTTACAGGCTAACCAGTGAACATCGCGTTTTCTAGACAAATGAACCTTAAGGTGGATTGGCTATAATAGTGACCTGGACTAAATAAAGCGCCCTGGCTGGTTTAGCTCAGTGGCTAGGGCGTCAGCCTGCGGACTGAAGGGTCCCGGGTTCGATTCCCGGTCAAGGGCACGTGCCCGGGTTGCGGGCTCAATCCCCAGTGGGGGGCGTGCAGGAGGCAGCCGGTCCATGATTCCCTCTCATCATGGATGTTTCTCTCTCCCTCCCTGAAATCAATACAAATACATTTAAAAAAAGAAAAAGTGGGTCTCTCCAGACAGTACTGGGCGCTGAGCTACGGGACGTGTTTAGACGTGAGGGGGTGTGAGGCGGGGACAGGCGGGGGCACGGGTGGGAGTCGGTCACCGGACGCTGCACTCCCGCTTGCCTTGCACCTGATCAATGAGAACCCGCAGGAAGCGAGCTCTCTGACCCCCTTCCCTGCGGTCTGGCTCCGCACTGGCAGCGAGCGCACACAGACGGCGCAGCAGGGCGCTCCCGGGCAGCCCGGCCGCGGTGCGTTTATTGGACACAGGCCGCCCGCGGGCTACTTGTTCTTGCTGAGGGTCCGCTGCTTCTCCGCGTGCTCCACGATCTTCTCCTCCACGGGGAGGCCCTTGCGCCTGCGCACCGCGTTCATGTACTTGCGGGCCTGGTTCTCGGAGTCGGCCTTCTCCCCGAAGTGCAGGTACTCCTCCTCCGTGGTCGGCACCCAGAAGGGGTCGCTGGGAATGACCTGGGGGGAGGAGGCGACAGCATGTGCTGGGTCAGGCAAGTCTACTTTCCTTCCAGAGGCCCATCGATAATAATAGAAGCGTAATATGCTAATTCGACCAGATGGCCGGACGTCCTTCCGGATGACCTTCCGGACGAAGCCAGGGCTGCGAGGGCCGAGCCTCTCACGAATTTTGTGCACTGGGCCTCTAGTTCAAGAATAAGGTTTAAACACTGAGCAGTCAGGCCTGGAGGAATGGCCACAGACAGGAAGAGCTGGCCGGCCGGCCCAGTGGCTGACACCTTGAAGCGGAGTCACCACTGACCCCAACAGGCTCCTGGGAATTCCCTGAGCGAGTGACCCACCCACAAGGTGACCCCAGAGGCTGAGCCACAGACAGAGGGGCCCCTGGAGGCTGCTGGGCAGAGCCCGCTGAAAGCTGGGAGACCAAGGTGTTTCCTTCCTAACGGGCTCACCCAGAATGCACCTGCCTGCCGGGGGATCTGATGCCCCTTTCCAATGCTCAGGGAGGAAGGCACCCGAAGGCCAGCTGGCTGTTGGCTTGGATAAAAAATAATCCTACATAATAAAAGGGTAATATGCAAATAGACTGGACGGCAGAACCGAAAACCAATCAAAGCGAAATATGCTAATGATATGCTCAGGCTACTCAACCGCTCGCTATGACGTGCACTGACCACCAGGGGGCAGATGCTCTGACTGGTAGGTGAGCTTGCTGCTGGGGTCCAGCTGATCAGGACTGAGGGAGATGGGCCGGACAGACCCTGGAGCCCTCCCACGGCCCCTCCCTGGCCGGATCATGCACCTGTGGGGTCCCTCAGCCTGGCCTGCACGCTCTCGCAATCCGGGACCCCTTGGGGGATATTGGAGAGCAGGTTTCAGCCCGATCCCACAGGCCACTTCCCTTGGGAGGGCGCCAGACGCAGGGCTCATGGCTGGCGAGCACTGCCTCAGCAGCGTAAGCCTCTCCCGGATCGGGACTGATTGGGCGCGAGCCCGTGGCAGGCACAGTGGGGCCGGGATGAGCGGGAACGGCAGGTGGGAGCTGCAGGCGGCGTTGGACTGCGGGTTTCGGCCCGATCCCTGCAGGCCGCCCCGAGGGACCCCACCCGTGCACGAACCCGTGCACCGGGCCTCCAGTAATAACAATAGGATCCCAGGAGGAGAGAGCTTCGGGAGCTCCAGTTCATTTTTGGCCCAGTTTTCACCACGACTGCGGCCAGCAGGTGGGAAGCTGCACGCGGGAAATGAACTCCTTCGCTGCTGTCACCACGTGTCCCTCGCCCTGCGTGACCTCCGGCCGCCCCTCAGCGTGACCTGGGTGTTAAGCAGCTCATCCTGAGGCGGGGCTGGCACACGTCTCTCTCTGCGCTTGTTATTAGCGCCTTTTCTCAGAAGGGGAAGGTGCAGGGAGAGAAGCGATGCGGTCGCTGACTGCGAAGGTTTCCTCGTGGGAAATGCCTGCCGCTTTATTTTCTCTGTATTTTGGAAGCACTTCCTCTCAAAAGCTCTTGATTGTAAATGACATGGTGTCGGATACAAGTGGGGAAAGTGCCGTGCAGGGAGAAGCCAGATCCCAACCACTGTGTCACTGCGAAGCCTAACGACAGGGGAAACCAGAAACAGGCAGAAAATGCCAGATCAGTGACGGGTAATTACAATGTCGCCTCCAGGCTCTCCGAGACGAGAGGCTTTGGGAACGGGAGGTGACAGGTGGCAGGGATGGCAAAGGGCAGCACGAACCTGGAGCAAACCCGTCCTCACTCTATTTTCCTCTGAAGTTACTTGTTAACAGACTCATCCTTGCCCGGCCGGCGTGGCTCAGTGGTTGAGCCTCGAACTATGAACCAGGAGGTGAGGGTTCGATTCCTGGTCGGGGCACAGGCCCGGGTTGCGGGCTCCATCCCCAGTGGGGGGCATGCAGGAGGCAGCCGATCCGTGATTCTCTCTCGTCATGTATGTTTCTCTCTCCCTCCCTCCCTCTCTGAAGTCAATAAAAATATATTAAGCCCTGACCGGTGTGGCTCAGTGGATAGAGCGTCGGCCTGCGGACTCAAGGGTCCCAGGTTCGATTCCAGTCAAGGGCATGTGCCTGGGTTGCGGGCACATCCCCAGTGGGGAGTGTGCAGGAGGCAGCTGATGGATGTTTCTCTCTCATCGATGTTTCTAACTCTCTATCTCTCTCCCTTCCTCTCTGTAAAAAATCAATAAAAAATATTTTAAAAAATAATAAAATAAAAAAATATTTTTTAAAAAAGAGGCTGGACTGCCCGCCCCTCCCGGCTATGATTCCCCCCTAAGTTAAAAGCCACGTGTTCCCCACCCTTTCTCCTCGCCCTGCGATGTGGACCTGTGACGTCTTCCTTTTTGATGACAGATCAGCTTCTCCTCTCCAGGCTAGAAAACACTCTTCCTCAGAACGCTCCTTAAAGCTTTACTTTAGAAAAAGTCTGGCTTCCTTGTAAAACCTACATCGTTTCTTGAGAGGGAAGGAAGGAGGGGATATTCTGTTTTAAATTTCACATCAGATGAGGAGGACGGGGTGTGTGATAAGCACATGTGATCGAGGCCCCTCAGTGTGGATGGATGGACAGACCGTCTGCTTGCTTCCTCCCGTCCCTCCGACCAGCAGAGCCATCAGGAGGCCAAAGGGCCCGGGGAGGGTGGCGGGGGGTGGGCTGGGAGGGCGGGGGTGAGCTGGGAGGGCAGGGGGAGGGCTCGCGGCCCTGGGCGTCGGCTGCAGGAAGCACATCCGTGGATGGAAGGAAGGGATGGGGTGGGGGTGTTACCTCCCAGTGGCTGAAGATCAGCTGCGGGCTGGCCAGGCCGCTGGTCCTCTTGCGGATCTCGTCGGCGAAGCCGAAGCTCTCGGCCACGGGCAGCGCGGCCTTGATGATGAACATGTCGGTGCCCTCCTTCATCTCCTCCTGCAGCACGCGGCCCTCCCTCTTGGACAGGACGGCGTAGACCCGGCCTGCAACACCGAGTCTCTTAGCTCCCTGAGCCCCACGAGGCCACGCTGCCTCACGGGCCGGTGACCATCCACGCGCGAACGTAGGTCTGTTCCCCATCACGGTGGTTTCCGCCCCGGCCGGTGTGGCTCAGTGGATGGAGCGGCGGCCTGGGGACTGAAGGGTCCCGGGTTCCATTCCCGGTCAAGGGCATAGGCCTGGGTTGTGGGCTCCATCCCCAGTAGGGGACGTGCAGGAGGCAACTGATCCATGATTCTCTCTTATCACTGATATTTCTCTCTCTCTCCCCCTTCCTCTCTGAAATCAATAAAATATATAGTAAAAGTAATAATAATAATAATGTTGGTTTCCAAAAGCATGGATGCTTTATAAGTGTTTATTTAAAAAGTAAAGCATGACCCGGCCAGTGTGGCTCAGTGGCTGAGCATCGACCTAGGAACCAGGAGATCAGGGTTTGATCCCCAGTCAGGGCACAGGCCCGGGTTGTGGGCTTGATCCTCAGTATGGGGCGTGCAGGAGGCGGCCGACCCATGACTCTCTCTCATCATGGATGTCTCTCTCCTCCTCTCCCTTCCTCTCTGACATCCCCTCCCTCGCAGCCCCGCCCTCCCGCCTGGGCGGCCCCCACTTCCGCAGTGTGTGCTCTCACTCCACAGGCGCCCCGGCTGTGAAAGCTGCTGAAACTCCACCACCATCTCCCCACTCCTGGCCTCATGCCCTCTCTTAGCCCGCATTCTCCGTGACTCGTCTGTGGTTTCGGGAGCTCCTGATCACCTCTTCTGACAACGCTCCAGACGTAGCCCCTTCCCAGGCCCCTGCCCCGGCCAATCTCTCCCCTCTGCTCCAGTGAG